TGTCTATGTCGGATATGAGGATGAGGAACAAGATGGGAGCGAGTACTATTCCTTGTGGAACAGAGCTTTTCACCGTAGCTGCCTCGGACTTTACTCTGTTGACGACTACTCTCTGTGTTCTGTTAGTGAGGAAATTATAGATCCATCGACCGACTTTTCCTGTTATCCCTTTAGCACGCATTTTGTGCACTATTACGCCATGGTCACACTTGTCGAAAGGCTTTTGCAAAGCCTGTATATATTACATCTGCATTCTTTTTGTCTTTTAGTGCATTTAGGACCTTGTCGTAGTGATCCAATAGTTGAGACAGACAGGAGCGACCTGTTCTAAACCCATGTTGCCTGGGTTGTGTAACTGATGGGTTTCTAGATGGGTGGTGATCTTGCTTCTTAGGACCCTTTCAAGATTTTTATGATATGGGATGTTAGTGCTATCGGTCTGTAGTTCTTTGCTGTTGCTTTACTGCCCCCTTTGTGGAGTGGGGCTATGTCTGTTGTTTTTAGTAACTGTGGGACGACCCCCGTGTCCATGCTCCCTCTCCATAGGATGGAAAAGGCTCGTGATGGGCTTCTTGCAGTTCTTGATGAACACGGAGTTCCATGAGTCTGGCCCTGGGGCAGAGTGCATGGGCATGTCATTTATCACCTGTTCGAAGTCATTTGGCGTCAGGATAACATCGGATAGGCTTGTGTTAACCAAATTTTGTGGCTCTCTCATAAAAAATTCATTTTGATCTTCGACTCTCAGTCTGGTTAGCGGCTTGCTAAAACTGAGTCATATTGGGACTTGAGTAGCTCAATCATTTCCTTGCTGTCATCTGTGTAGGACACATCTTGTTTAAGTAGGGGCCCAATACTGGACGTTGTTCTCGACTTTGATTTGGCAAGGAGAAGAAATGCTTTGGGTTTCTTTTCGATTTCATTTTTTGGCTTTTAGTTTTTCCCGCGATTCCTGACTCCTAAAAGATTCCTTTAGCTTAAGTTCGATGCTTGCTATTTCTCTGACCAGTGTCTCCCTTGCATTTCAGATATACTGACCTCTTTTAGCCGCTCTGGTTATTCTTTTCCTTTCGCCTGTAAAGGGAGCACCTGTCTCTTTCTATTTTACATCTACTCCTCCTTTTTCTTAGAGGAATAAGCCTTGTGCATACATCGAGTGCCACCAAGTTAAATCTGTTCTAGGCATAAGTTGGGGTCTGTGTTGTTTTGTATATCTTCCCGGGCTTATATCGGTTAGGACTTGGTTTACTTACCTGTAAAGGGAGCGCCTGTCTCTTTCTATTTTACATCTACTCCTCCTTTTTCTTAGAGGAATGACCCTTGTGCATACATCGAGTGCCACCAAGTTAATCTGTTCTAGGCATAAGTTGGGGTCTGTGTTGCTTAGTATATCTTCCCAGCATATAATCGGTTAGGACTTGGTTTTACTTACCTGGAGTTTACCTGGAGAGATTTCCGGGGGGTCAACGCCCCCGCGGCCCGGTCTGTGACCAGGCCTCCTGATGGATCAGAGCTGATCAACCAGGCTGTTACTGTGGCTGCACGCAAACCAACGTACACGCCACAGCCCGGCTGGTCAGGAACCCACTTTCTTTTTGGGGCTTGTCCAGTGCCACCTTGAGGACTGCCAGGGGTTGTTGGTAATCCTCTTTTTCCCTTATGGTCCCACTTTATGTTTTTTTTTATTGAAGTTGAATTTAGTGAATGTCCCTCGTGACTAGTCTCATTATGTCGGTCTGGGGCTCCACGCATACATGTCTGAACCTCAATTATGTTGTGATCTGGTATATTGTTTTTGATATGGTGACATTTCTTATCAGATCATCATTGTTGTGAAGATGAGGTCTAGTGTATTCCCCAGTCTAGTAGGCTCTTTTATTTGCGGGTTTAAAATTAAATTTTTGTGCAGAGATTTAGAAGCTCGTGTGAGTGTGAGTTTTCATCAGAGCTGCCCCCTGGTGTTATTACTGCAACAATATTATTTGCTATATTCCTCCATTTTAGGTGCCTTAAGTTGAAATCCCAGGAGCAAGATGTTGGGTGCAGGAGCTGGAAGTTTTTCCCAGACAGTGGTCAATTTTTAACAGCTTTTCCCTGGAATTGCTGGGATGTTAAGTAATTAACAAATTTAAATGACTTCACTAATTACATCCGGTTCGAAGGACCAACGAGCAAATTTAAATTGGGGAAAAATTGCATTTATCTGAATGTAACAAATTAGGTACATAACAGTAAATGATAACAAAGATAATTTTATTTATCAATGTTACTTAGACAAGTAGGAATTTGGGACCCCTAGGTCGCAAAAAATGTCCCCTTCGATACCTACCACTGTCATATCCACAAGTTGCTCTGGACCTATTAATTAAATGAAATATACTTTACACCAGGAATACTGGTAAATATATAAATTTGTGGACTGTATATTAAAAAAATAAATTGCTATTTATAATATATACACAATTACATAACAGAAGGAAAATATATCTTAAATATCACTCCCCAATTTGATGGAGATTAATATGTATCATACTCAGAAAACCTCACTCTAACTAAATCTATGAAAATAATGTGGCCAGAATTACACACAAATCTAGAGAGCTTATCTGAGGTTCCTGGAGCTGTCTTGTCCAGTCCCCTGATATCTCAAGTTATGCGGGAATGCATATCCACCAATTTCGCCTCCTATTTGAGAGTGTCAGCACAATTTTAACCTCTAGAGCACGAAAAATTCTTCCTCATTCACGTTTCTAATACAAATTCAAAACCAAGATGGCGAGTGTTGAGCAGACGCAGGCTTTCCGTTTTCTATGACAAAAAATTATTAAATACGTATGGCCATCTATTTAAATATAATAAATGAATTTCTGGAAATATTACAATATTTTCCCCAGTTAGTGTTACCTAGATTATTGTTATTATTAAATTATTAAATTTTTTTGGAGAGTCCAACAAAAAATTAGTCACAGACTGATTATTGATTTATTTATTTTGATGGCATCACTGTTTCCTGGTCTTCTGGGTCTATTTTTTATCAGCTTACAATATTCTGCAACACTGCTAGCTCCTGATGTGTTGACTGCAGCACAACAGACCTAGAGCTATCATTCAACTCCCTCTTCGGTATGTGTTATACCCAGAATAAGTCCCAATGAATAAGATCTGGACAGGGGCTCGAACCGTGGTCCACTCATTTAACAGTCCGAATGCTGCAATTACTTAGCCACAGAAACCGCGTGTGAAGTCAGGGTATTTGTCCAAAAATTTGTTAGGAAATTAAGTTCTGACAGATGGTGCTCGATTTACGTTCCCCCGACCTTTACCCCCTTTCTGATGATGATGGTCTGGAGGAGATGCTCGGTATGGCTAGCTAGTAGGCAATGCTCTCGCTTCACACGTTGAGTGTCCGTGGTTCGATCCCAGCAAGGGTGAAAACATTGGTCTTGATTCTTTACACCTGTTATTCCGTTCACCTAGCAAGTAAATAGGTACCTGGGTGTTAATCGACTGGTGTGGGTGGCATCCTGGGGGACAAAATTTAAGGTCCCCCAATGGAAATAAGACAAACGTCCTCAACGACACACTGACTTTCTTGGTTATCCTGGGTGGCTAACTCTCCAGGGTTAAAAATCCAAACAAAATCTTAACTTGGAAAGTGTCTCGGTAAGAGAGATCCTTCAAAAGTGGTTGTCATTGGCTCGGTGTTCCCTCCGGTGGGTGTGAAACACGACCTTGATGTATGACAATGTTGATGTATTAGACAAACATTAAATAATGAGAATGCTGAATATAATTTTTGGATTTTCAAACAGAAATTCATGAAACAATGTCAGAAAGGAACTAGCAAACGAGCTTGAAGAAAGTAGAACAGTACTGATAGGAACTAGCTGATCCGTTACCAATCTGTCAATGTCCCTGTAAGTCTCAGCAACAACAATAAATAAGTCAATTTGACTGATTTTTTGGGGGGAGGGAGGGGGGTTGTCCTAGGTATATCACATATGCTGCTATGTATGATAATTTATGTAACTGTATTTATGTGTACCTGTACCTGAATAAACTTACATAGTAATGAAATGTGTCTGGTGTTTGGGGAAGTTTTCCTATTGGTTGAACGGTGAGAATTTTTTGTCTTGATGAACGAGACACTTGTGGAAATGTTTCACCAGCCAGACCCAGTGGCTTTATCAGTCCATAAACAGAAGAACGTTGGATGATGAAGAGTTTGAGGTAATCAGTCCCTCAGCTTGGAACTGATGCTTTCTGGTCATCAATATTGATAAAAGTTCAGCATATGAGTGAAGAACAGGCTTATACACTTCTCCGTTCATATACTGTACTTTTATCAAGACTGATGACCTGAACACTAACTCCAGACTAAGTGTATTCGGGTCTGGGTACACATAAATAGAGTTACATAAACCGTCATACATAGCAGCATACATGTAGGTTACATACGATAACCCAAAAAATCAGACAGAAATAACTTATTTCCATTGGGGTCCTTGAACTGAGGGACTGATTACTTCAAACTCATTTTCCACTGTTCATCTCTGTATTGGACTGAAGAAGCCACTGGCTGGTGAAAAGTTTCCACAGTAAAGATACCCAAAAGTTACACAATTGGCTCATTCATCAGCTTACATTTCTTCAGTAGTGATGGCAGTTATAAACAGCAGTGGGACTCGGTCCACACCTCCACATGTATGAACTTATTCTTCTCATATCCAGGCACACTTATCATCAAGTTAGGTAGGACCATGATGCTCATCACCTGGTTGTTGAAGCACTGGAGATGATGATGTAGGTAACTTTAGATACAGGTACACACATAAATATAATTATCATACCTAGTAATTTGTAAATTACCTAGTTTAACCCCCCAAAAAAAGTCAAGTGACATTTCCATTGGGGTCCTTGATGGTTATGATGATGATGGAAATAAGTCACTTTGACTTTTGTTTTGTGGGGAGGGAGTTGCACACATGTTACTATATATGATAATTGTACTCATGTGTACCTGTGCCTAAAATAAACTAACAATGATAATACTACTGGTACTGGGACGTCCAGTGAGTGACGTCACTCAACAACAACATGGCAGACTTGTTGGTAAAAAAACTGACAGCTGAGGACTTTAATGCTGAGAGATGTGAGTAAAGTGCCCTGTTTGCAGCATATTGTTGCATATGAAGAGTTTAGGATATGAGGAATTTATATAAGAGAGAGTAGAGTAACCAGTGTTAATGTTAAGAAGAGGTTGGGTGTCCCGCCCACTTGTACAAGAAACCAAGTCTTATTATGTTCAATGTTCTTTTCTTATGCAAAAATATAACTTGTATTTGAGTACCCTTAATTTTAGGGCAAAATAAATTAATGTGGAGATCAGTGCCTGTCTTGAGAAACACTGCTTTCATAAAATACAAGTATGGTAAGAACAACATTTTACAAAGTGTTTGTTAGCTATGGCTAACAAACAAAGACAAAACAAATGTAAAACAATAAGGCTGGCTAGTCCCATGTCTTCCACTGGGAGAGGATTTTTTTAGATATAGTATCATGATATTTTAGAATTAATATTGACAAAATTACCTGGACTACCCCATTAACATTGCACATTTATTGCAAAGATTTCCATATCCATTACACAGGAAAAATATTTATCTGTTATGGAAATTATTATTTAGTGTCATGTCAGCCATAATACTTTACTGAATTATTTATTACCCTCATCACCTTGTCTCTTTCCTGTGTTTACTATTAATTTTCTTCTTTTACATCCCTCTCAAATTTGTCTGCCAGTCTTTGCAACTTCTCTTTAAAATCTCCTAAAAGTACAGTTATTGGCAGAAATCAACTGTGACAGCTCCCATGTTGTATTAGATTCTGCCTATTTTAATCTCACACATCTCTGCAACACCCTAGCATTCACTTCTCTTAAAACCCCATCTATAAAGATATTAAACAACCATGGTAACACCATGCATCCCTGTCTAAAGCTTACTTTTACTGTGAACATAATCTCCCTCTCTTCTGCTTACCCTAACATGAACCTCACTACCCTCATAAAAGCTCTGTACTGCTTTCAGTAACCTACCACCTATTTGATACACTTGCAACATCTGCTACATTGCTTCCCTATCCACCTTATCATATGCCTTTTCTAAATCCATGAATGCAATGAAAACTTCCTTACCTTTATCTAAGTATTGTTCACTTATATGCTTCAGTGTAAACACTTAGTCTACACTTCCCCTACTCTTCCTGCTCTCTCTGTGTGACCTTAATTCTTTCAGTAAAATTACCATACACTTTACCTGGCATACTCGACAAGCTTATTCCCCTATAATTTTTACACTCTTTTGTCCCCCTTTCCTTTTTACGAAGGAACTATGCACACACTGCCAACCCTTAAGTACCTTCTCTTCTTTCATACATTTATTGAATAAAAGTACCAGCCACTCCAAAACTATATCCCCACCTGCTTTTAACATTTCTGTCTTGATCCTCACATCTCAGCTGCTTTACCCCTTTCCATTTTTACCCACTGCTACATACAGTCAGTCAACCCTCAGTGTAACAGACTTTGAAAATTATGGGCTACTCATTGAACATGCTAGTATCTTTGCCTTATTCTTCCTAACTGTATGAAATGATGCCTCATTCAGGCCATAAGCTCATGCCAATCTCCATCACATGTATGTCACTTAAGCTTATCTACTATCTTAATTTTCTTCGAAACGCTAGTATTTTCATGGTTATGCTTCTTTGGACTTCTAGGTTCACTCACATTCCTCTTGGGTGCCATGGTTACCATCCCAAGACAAGATGGGATGATTAAAATATGAAAAATCAGTAAAATCAATTAGCTAGAAAAGGCTGGGTGCAGTATTAAATGCATATGTACAGGGAACTGAGGAGAGGGAAGTTGTGTACATTAAGTAGGTCGCCTTCCATGTAAGACAATGGCTTTGCCTGTAGGTGGCTGTGAGATGGAGGGGAATGAATCCACTACATGTCTCATTTTTCCCCTACATTTGTTATGTAATAATTATGGCATGTTCAAATGAAATATACCGCAACTTCTCAACTGTGTTAATGCAGAAATAAATGTTAATAGAGTGTGTGTTAATCAATGGTCTACTGTATATTCTTTATTTTTTTATATGTTTTTATTCTTTAAAACATCTCTGAATTGCCATTTTGTATTCAGATGTTCAAGACCTCAGCCACAGTAGTGTTGGGGATTTGGAGTTGAGGCAACAAAGACAAAGGATTCAGCATTTGGCTGAAGAAACCAATGCCCAACTCAAGAAGAATGTGTATATGAATTATATGCAGTTCATAGAGACTGCCAAAGAAATATCATGTAAGTAATCAGGTTTTATAAAAACTCTAATTTTCTAAGATTATTTCAGTTCACCTAAATATGTAGATTTATCTCTGCATTGTCAGTTACTTAGGTACAGTATGTATATGTGTAATAATTTTTTGCAACTAAATAATTTGATTTAAATATAAAAATCAAGATTAATCTTTTTTGTGATCCTTCTTTCAACATTGTTTAAACGCAACACTTGCAGATACACTTGACATTTATTGCAGTTTTCCTCTTGTTTCATATTGTGGGTAGACAAAGATAATATATATTGGATCAGTAACCCTAAAGGGCTAATACTGTATTTCAGGATAATCCAAGACACCCAAGCTGTGTGACTTGTTTTTTATTGGGGTCTTTAGGTTCTCCCCTAGGATGTAACTCACAGCATGTGACTAACTCCTAGGTACAGGTAACTATTTACTTCTTGGGAACAGGGCTATCATTCCTTGTCCTGGATTCAGCCTGTGTCCTTTTCAGTTATGCTCCTTATCTTCCAGGCATATCCCTAAATGGAATTTTTGTCGTAGTCAAAAAATACATTACTTTTAACAACTGACTGCATTCATTTTTATCCTTAAATTTTATTATTGATGATGAAACTGCAGGCATAAGGAAATAAAAAATTAATGGAAAAAAATAGGAAAGTGTTATCATTTGAAAGAGGATAGTAGTATAGAGATTGAGAAAAAATAAATCAGACAACATGCTGCTATACTATATTATGAGTAGCCAGAGAAAATACCTACTACTGAGAAGGTAATACCTACTTTCCCCTCAAGTTGTACTTTCCATGGGAATTTGTGTGCTCATTTATATTTGTAAATAACCCACACTTTTGAGAGGAAACTATGAAAAAAAAAGAATATTTAGGAGTTTTGTTTAAGTAATCTAATGCCAAGACAACAGTGCATAAGTGTTTGCAATAAAGCTAATAGAATTCTTGGCTTCATATGAAAAAGTATAAATAATAGGGATCCTCAGGTTGTACTTAACTTTATAAAATTTTGGTAAGACCTCATTTAGATTATACCGCACAGTTCTGGTCACTTACTACAGACTGGACATAAATGTGCTGGAGAATATACAGAGCAGGATGACAAAGTTGATCCCATATATCAGAAATCTTTCCTCAGTGGATAGACTGAGGGCACTGAATCTGCACTCTCTGAAAAGGCATAGAGGGATATGATTATTGTGTATAAATGGAAGGCAGGAATAAATAAAGGAGATATAAATAACATGCTAAACATATCAAACCAAGATAGGATTCACAGCAATGGGCTCAAGTTGAAAAAAATAAGAATTAGAAAAAATATAAGCAAACAATGGTTTGGTAATAGAGTTGTGGATAAGTGGAACAAACTCCTGAGTAGCATCACTGAAGTGAAAAAAACCTTAGGCAGCTGTAAAAATGGTTGGACAAGTGCATGAGTGGGTGTGTGGTGGGTGAGAGTTAGACCTGTCTAGCATGGGCCAGCAGTTCTCCTTTCTTATGTTCTTCTGATATTTCAGTTCATCCTGGACCATTATCAAGTTTCAGCTGAGCTAGAAAATGGGTGGGAAACCCTGTCCTCATTTCCTTCCCATTTTCTCAGTTGTGACTTGATAATAGTCCAGGATGAACCAAAAGTCATCTAGCAAAAATTTCTTCTCAAAAGTGTATTTTATTTGTGAATTTGTTCCACTAACTTCTTTATATTCTTTGAAAGCACCGGCATTACGTTGAAACTATTTTTGTAATTTTTTTTGTATTTTATCCCGTTTGTAATGGACTTAAGTAAAATTATAGTACATACACTACAACTATATACCAAATGCAACATATTACTGCTGTTTATTTATAAATAAAGGAATTTTTGAGCCTAGAAGCTTAGAGTAGAAAGAGAGACAATACTTTATTACTATTGTAATATTGCTTTTTTATACTTCAGACCTTGAAAGTGAGATGTACCAACTCTCTCACCTCATTACAGAGCAGAAATCTCTCTTAACATCCTTGCTAGAGCTATCAGTTGCAGGTAAGTTATTCTATAAGAATTATTAAAGTAATTTAGAACTGTATTTGGCTTTGTCCCTTCTTTTTCTGAATTCAGTAAATCAATGGGATAAGCACTTACTCTTTAAGTACAGACCAATTTTAATAATCTGAATATGATCTACTAAACTAACAATGATCTACCTTTGCTCTTGTGCTCACCCTTAATACTTCTGCTTCTGCCTTTTTCATATTGGCCAATCCTTTGGCATGCAGCAGTGAATGATCCATGCAGGTTTATGGCTTTCTATGAACATAATTGAAATTCCAGATTTAACCAAATAGGAGCAATAAAATCAGAATTTTGAGATTAAAAAAATCTTTCAAAATTGGACAAAGTTTGCAGCACCTACAGTACAGGTACTTATATATTAATTGCAATTCTGATGAGCAAGGTGCTGGTTATTGTTCGTGTTTACAACTTATCAATAGATAGGTAGCATAAATTTATATAGTATAACTCACGAAATTGTAATGACACGATTGCAAACAAACCATACCACGGGTGGGGTTTGATCCTGCGGTCAGAGAGTCTCAAAACTCCAGACCGTCGAGTTTTGAGACTCTCTGACCTTGGGATCAAACCCTACCTGTGGTATGGTTAAATTTATATAGTTTTTGGTTTGGTGAATAAAATTACAGAATGTGTGTTGTCTTGTTTTATTTGTTTAGGAGAAAGAGGCCCAGGCAGTGCTGCTCAGGAGATGATAGAAGTAAATCCACAAGAAGTGCGAAAAAAACGTGAACGTGAAAATAGGAAAAAGTTTGACTGGACTTTTGAAAAAAATAGAAGGATGTTCAGTAAGTAGCACTGTACAGTGAAAGTTATAGATAACAATTCTCATAAGAATTCTGTTATAATAATGTACGTGCATTTCAGAGAAACAACGTGAAATAAAATATTAGTACAATAAACAGATATAAATGAATTATGCAAAGTTTCTGCAATATAAAGTACAGTATATGAACAATGGAATTGAAGATATTATTTAAAAAAGGTGAAAGATGGAATGGTAAAGAATTTTTAAGGGAAAAAAATGCCTGAAAGCAATAGGAGTAGGAATGATTTTTACAATTTGTCATGGTTCCCATTGCTACTTTTTAAAGTCCAAATTGGTGACAGTATATTTTTAACAAAATTCACTGCTTATTTTTATTCTGTATAACTGGATTTTTTTTAACTTTATTATTTCTTGTAGCATGTGATGGAGGTTGAGGATCGTTACTTGGTATATGATGGAGACTTAGTAGAGCTTAACCAAGATGACTATTCTGCATTGCAAAGAATTCATTGTTATCTACTGATGACTCTTGATGATTGCATCTTGGTTAAGTGACAGGTAAGTATATTAATGCAATACAAGTTTTAATTAAAATTATCTGTAGCATACTCTCATTTATAACTGCATTTTTACAATAATTGGCAATGTGTTTTTTATTTTGTTAATACAGTGGAACCTCGAATATCGAACTTTCTTAGTTCCAGACGGCTGTTTGAGTGCCTTTACCAAACAAATTTATTCCCATCAAGAATAATGTAAATTAGATTAGTTCATTTCAGACCCTCAAAAATACACTTATAAAAGCACTTACAAAAATACACTTACATAATTGGTTGAGCTGGGAGCAGTTCGATATTTGAGGTTCCACTGTATTTCAGTTGTATTTTGAAATTTTCTCAAATTTAATACACATATACCTTTGTTAACCTGACTTCAGTCTGGAGGTGGAAAGGGAGGAGATACAGCCAGAAGGCGGGTGGGGATGTTAATTTGAGTGTGTGTTATACTATTATAGAGGAAGAGATGTTTGGTAAATGTAGGATTATGGATGTCAATAGTGGCATTCTTCTGGCTATGGGTGATTTTATGGATATGTATGAATGAAATGAAAGTAGGGGTGTCACTAGCACGTTAAGAGACAATACAATAAGTGTCAGGGCGCCGAGACTGTTCAACTGCCTCCCAGCATACATAAGGGGGATTACCAATAGACCCCTGGCTGTCTTCAAGCAGCACTGGACAAGCACCTAAAGTCGGTACCTGACCAAACCGGGCTGTGGCTCGTACGTTGGATTGTGTGCATCCAGCAGTAACAGCCTGGTTGATCAGGCGCTGGTCCACCATGAGGCCTGGTCACAGATCAGGCCATGGGGCGTCGACCCCGGAACTCTCTCCAGGTAAACTCCAGATACTCATACCTGTCTCATATCTACACAGAACTAGTTGTGAGCCACAGAATTGTATATAGTGGTGATATGTGTGATCAGCTGTTTGGTCAGCTGTATATTGATGCCTCGGTGGGAGACGGCCCGACTTGTTAAAAAAAAAAAAAAAATTGTCATGATTAAAGAATTGCGGAGGATTTGGAAGAGCCTGGGATTGCTGAGGAGAAATGCAATGTGGGATGTTTAGAAACTCTGCTCTAGAGGCTTTGTCTCATCTTCCTCCTGACTTGCTAAAAACACTCGTTCATTTCTTGCATATTTTGTTCTGTACGCTTAAGAATTTAATTGAAAATGTGGAGCATTAACCCTACCCATAAGATGCTAAGTTTTAATGTAGGCTTTCTTCTAACATCACTCTTGATCTTTTCTCATATGTCATTAAAGCATAAAAATGTACATCTAGGTCTGAAAGACACACACAACTTGCAACCCTAATAGAAGTTATAGTAATATATATTCTGTATAGTCTAACCCTGCTGAACCATACACTAAAGATCCATAAAATTTATTTTTATTTATTTATTTTTTATTTTGACTACAGATCTATTTTGTTTCCAGCAAAATTTTTGTATTTCATTTAGTATTTGTATTTTGTATTGTAATTCATTCATTTCTGTATCTATAATTAGATTAACTCTTAATCTTAACTTATGGTAGTAGGTTGGTAGACAGCAACCACCCAGGGAGGTACTACCGTCCTGCCAAGTGAGTGTAAACGAAAACCTGTAATTGTTTTACATGATGGTAGGATTGCTGATGTCTTTTGTTGCCTCATAAAAATGCAAGATTACAGGTATGTCTTGCTACTTTTACTTACACTTAGGGCACACTACACATACATATAAAACATTTATTTATACAACTCACTGAGTTTTTTTTTATTTTTTTAAATTTG